AAGGAGACCTTTATCAGGAATCCAACAGTATACTATTGTTATTAATTTCGATGTCTTGGAACTCACTTTACACGTAAATGGAACCCACTAGGAGTACCTCGTGGGGCCAAGCGCGCTCCTCCGTCTTTCGGGCTCATTATTTTAGGGGAGAGGTGGGTAGGGCATGTCAGAGAACAAATTAGATCGCAAATATTCTGTAAAATAAAAAAAAAATTACGAAGGTAAGTTGGAGCGCGTAGCCAAACGTCGGGTTGGAAGACTGAAGCATGCTTTAATATCATCGCTAACCCACCACCGGACCAACGGCGAGCGCGTGTATGCCGGAGGAGTGTGCCCCAACCTCGAGCGAGGTAATTGGGGTATTTTTTCTAATGGTACTACCAACATCAAATGGAAAGAAGATTAACGCAGTACAAAAGTGGGAAGATTGTGGAAATCACCCTACTTAAAATTTTTAAGTAAGCGACTATTCCCGTGGTTAATTTAAAAGGCTAATTTTGCTTACCAAACTGACTAAAATGGTTTTTGTATGCGGCGACCTTCCGAGGACCACTGTGCAGTTCAAGGTCATCATCAAATCCCTGCTGGATCGACGCGTGGCGTGTCGAAAACAGGAAGATTATGGGTAATTCAACCCACTTAAAAATTAAGTAGGTGGCTATAATACTTAAGGACCTTTCGAAGACCCCACTTGGAATCCCTACCTGTAACTCTACTGGACTCTTATCTTCCCCTATCCAAACATTTAAGCATGCTATATTGCGCAAAAAGTTCCCAGTTGCGCATAACGAACTTAACATTTTTAAGCTAAAACAGCCCTCTGAGTGTTAAGGGTTTATTAAGAAAACGGGAAGCCATACTGGATGGCCGACAAAATTCGCTGTGTTAAAAAAACTGCTGTGTCGTCTTAGACATAGGTGTTTGGCCAGATTCACTCTCGCCGATGCTTCCTCTGTGAATGTTGCCTGGTCACAGCCGAAAATTGATTGGTTTCGTAATTGACTGTCACCGAATTGTCTTCAACTAACTCCTTGTTTGCCTTCCCCCGACATGGAATGACAAGAAGTTCAAGCATTCCTTTGTCCCAAAACTTACCTTCAAGTGTCATCTTAATCCTGTCCATGCCTCTACGCCTAACTCTAACCCTAACCCTTATTTTAATGTGATCTAACAGAAAACGACTCATTTAAAATGTGTCTATAGGTGTCAGACGGCAGAGGCTTCTTCCTCCTAGTCATGTGTAAGAAAATAAGTTCTTACTTGTGGTTGGCTGAATTAGCTCAAATGCGTTTTTTCTATCTTCTTGAATTCCTAGGAATTTGCGTCGCTCGCTTTCGTACTATCTCCCTTCTTCAAATACAATCTCAGCCTACTCACCCACCGCAATGGTGTTGTGGAGTTCACCGAACCGGAGATCCGTATAGACGTTGGGTTTCCACAAGGCAGCGAAAACCTCCTCTTCTTTGATATCGAGCTCAAATTCGATGATCAGGACTTCACTGAGCACTATAACAGAGTTCCTCTGATGTATGTCCTTCTAGACATCTTATTTTACATTTTTCCAAAAGACCTCATATAGCGCGTTTTTTCCTATAATAGTATATGTTTAGAATCTAATTGTTACCTTACCCGGCTGTGCACTGGATGAGCTGCTATTTTTTGTCATAAATTTCATCAGCCAAACTTCTCCTGAATATTTTGGTCGGGACACATGCTCGTAGACTATTAGAAAAATAACAAAAGCTTCATTACACTATAAATGAGAACCTTTTATGCAGCGTGAAGTACGTGCATATTGATCAACTTTAATCTCATTCAAATTGTAATATTCTCACGAAACCGCAGAATTTTCTTCTCCTACCAAATATGCTTAAAAAACAAACTTTTCCTCTTTTAAAAATGGGACACGGACTCTGAGGAATGTTTTTTAATCTTGCGTTGGGTATTTTTGGTTAACGACGGCTTATAAACCAAAAATAGCCATTTTAGCCTATTCTGTCGTTGCCGGCAATGCCATTCTGCCTCAGCGTATAAGAAGGAAGGAAAAGGAGCGTTCACCGCGAGAGGTTCATTATAAGCCTGACTTTTTGAGTAGTTTATAATAAACCTCTCACGGTGAATGCTCCTCTTCCTTCTAATTTACCACATAGGAATCGAATTTGCAGCACTATATTAATAGGAACTAGCTCGAGAATGAACCCTGAGGCAAAACCTGAGGTGCAAAATTCTGTTAGCAATCAGTGAAAGTTCATCAACGAGTATATGTAAATATAATAA